AAGCAAAGAGAAACCACTCTTAGTGAATTCTGACCCATAGTGTTAGTAAATACAATGGTCCACTTGTCATAGAAAGTATCAGTAACATTATGTGATACTGATCAGCTTAATTGACTAGTCTTTTCTTCAGGTTTCTCATTTATTCAATTGTCTTAAGTCATAGCTGCTTTGTAGAAAATAGTGAAAAGTATGAGTGTAAGGTTTGCTGAAAGAAGACCGCCACGTGGTTCAGGCAGAAAAGAGTTTATTTGGGAGACCCAAACTGCTGGGCCACACTGGAGAGTAGGATGTATCGTGTAGCAGTCTGATTAATGGAGGAGAAAGATTATATAGGGAAGAGCAGGAACAAGGTGTGACCAGAGTGGATGCGGAAGTGGCCTCAGAGCCTGGAGAACCTTCCACTGTCCTTCAAGTGTGCAGCGACAAGTTACCTGGTTTCCAGGTGCTGGGCAGGGACTTCTAGAGAGGACCATGTGCAGTTTTGCATGGAGAGAGAACAAAGAGGAAGGAGTCTACATGCAGTTTTTCATAAAAACAAAGCGGCGAAGTGGCCATTTTCCCTGGCAGACTTAGCAATGAGGTCATGTATTAAAACACACACTCACACATACTTAGAATGGTTCTAGAAATATACTAAAAGCTGAAATAGTGATAGTCACAACAAAATTAAAAACCAAATGTTTCTTTGTTTATTGCATCTAAATCTTGAATGCATGTGCTATTTATTTTGGCTTGACATACAATGTTATATGGATAATCATCAACAGATTATGATCAAATTATCATTTTAGAAAGATATATGAAAAAAATCTATAAGGTCTGCCCTGGCCATGCAGGCCCTGAGCGGATACCTCCATACCTCTTGGCCAAGTTTCTACCCAGTATCTGTTACCTCAGGTAACTGGCACAACTGGAAGCAGTCACCTTCCCCTCCTACTAGGTCACATCCTGGGCCACCTCTGGTCCCATCTGACCTTAGGAGGATCCCAGGCCCTGAGGTCATGTCTGGATCCCCCCACCTGGCCACACCTCTTCCTGTCCCTGGCCTAGCTAAGTCCTGGCCCAGGGGTGGGGCTCCCCTTTACAGCCATGCCCCTCCACCATGCACGGCAGGGGCAGCAGTTCAGTAAATAAACTTCTTTTCCTGTCTGAATAGCATGTGGTATTTTCTTCATCGGCTACCTATTGAAACCTACTTATACCTTGCAAAAAGCTTCCTGTATCACATAGCAAGTTGCAACACAAGTCTATCTCCAGTCCACAAATGCTATATGAGAGCATGTTAGGCTTTTCTGTTGGAAAAGAAATTTTCTTCTAGGTTTTATCTGATCCTTTGTAGAAATTGGAAAATGAAGCTAGGAAGACTATCCCCAGATGTGCTGAAGCAGATAAAAATACATTCCAGAATTAGACCGACTTTATCTAGGTTGTAAGAAAACCTCATAAGAAAGATTTTTCTCATACATTGTCGTAAAATGAATCATCCCAGAAGCCACATTTAGGTAGATGGAACATTGGAGTCTTTATTACAACACTAGAAGTCTGCAAGCAGCCCATTGTTAATAGGCCTGCAGCCCCCAAACACACATAACACAGCTAGGAAACATGCTAGAGAGAAAAGAAAGAACAAAAACAATACCAAAAGCCAATTCAGCTCTGATGAGAGCTGAATTGGGACATCTTGATGACCAGCCCAGCTGGTCTGGGCCTAAATAGGGTCCAAGCAGGGGGCAGGTCCACAGGAAATTCCCAGTTCTAGTCACTGGACTGACAGGTTCAGTAACCTATCAGCCAAATGCCCACCCCTGCCACCAGGGATCCAAGCACTCTCATCACCTGGAAGACAGGTGATGGGCAGGGGGTTTTCTTCCCCAGCATGAAGACAAGATTCCACACCCAACCATCCACCATGTGGCCAATATGGTGCCGGCTAGACCTGACCTCCTTACTTCAACATGAGTTCGGACACTGCACACAACTCTCATTCAGGAATGCCAGAATCCAACTTCATTTTCCAATCTAACCTCATTTGGTTTTTGAGTTCCATTCCCAATGGGCTTGTCAAGTTAAAGTTTAGAGATTGTCTTGAGGGGGTGGGTGATGTTGAGATAGATGATAGGGTGGGTGATCAATGGAAAGGGTGATATGGATCCAGATGTGTTGTATTCATTAATTGACATGTTGAATAAAAACCCTTTGTACAACTAATAATAGTAATAATCAAAAAGACGTAGAAGAAAGGGTGGGGCACTTGCCTAGCATGGATCCTTGCCACCAAAATTTAAAAACTGAACAAAGCATGAAAGGAAACAAAGGAAGTTGTGGAGAAAATGTTAACACAAATCTACTGTCAGCTGGAGAGACCAGCTTTCCCTGTCTCCCATGGGTCAGCTCTGGAGTCTAACTCCCACCTTGATTCGAGAGTCCAGACATTCATGGATTGAGGTCTACACTCACGATGGGAGTTTAGTGGGTGGACAAAGCAGTTCCTGTTTGGCAGAGAGCAAATCTCCAGATAAGTAAACAATTGAGCTGTCAGAAGCCAATACTCCACAACTGGACACATTGACTAAGAAGATGGAATTTGTGAGGCACCAAAATCAAATCAAAACCACCCACATGAAGTGGAAGTCAGTGCCCTGAGGGTCAGGGTGCCGGAATTTGCTTTTAAAACAGGAGACCTTATCATTAGAACTCTCTTCTTTTTTAAAAAATACAATTTTAAAGCGGGGAACCAGTGGCTCACACCTGTAATCCTAGCTACTCAAGAGGCTGAGAGCTGAAGATCACGGTTCAAAGCCAGCCTGAGCAGGAAAGTCCAGGAGACTCTTATCTCCAGTAAACCACCAGAAAACTGGAAGTGGCGCTGTGGCTCAAGGACTGACAGAAAAACAAAAGGCAAAAGGGAGCTGGGCCTCTGGGCACTAATGGCTCATGCCTGTAATCCTAGCTAATCAGAGCTGAGGATCTTGGTTTGAGGTAAGCTCAAGCAGGAAAATCCATGAGACTTTTATCTCCAAGTTAAACAACTGAAAAAAAAGCCAGAAATGGAGAGAGAAAGAGGGAACAGCTTACACTAAGCAAAAGGAAAGAAATGTACATATCACCCAGTTTCAAAAAATATTTGTATTGTCAAAGTTTGTAGAGTTCATAAGCTTTATAGACGACGAGAATGACAATTTTCCTTGTGTTGGAATGTGTTTGTAACTTTAGCTAAGTATCACTATCCCACAATACTGTGAAATTTATGCCATCACTTAATCTCAATAAAGAAATTTTTTTTTAAACCAGAAATGGAGCTGTGGCTTAATGTGGTAGAGCACTAGCCTTGAGCAAAAAAGCTAAGCAAGGGGCATAAAACCTTGAGCTCAAGCCCAGTACCACAATTATAAAAGGAAGGAAGGAAGGAAGGAAAGAAGGAAGGAAGGAAGGAAGGAAGGAAGGAAGGAAGGAAGGAAGGAGATAAAGGAGAGAGAAAACACCTCAAGGAAAAGGTCAGTTGTTTCATTTAAGAGTTTTATGTGGGCTGGGAAGGTGGCTCAATGGTAGAGCGCTTGCCTTGCATGCATGAGGCCCTGGGTTCGATTCCCCAGCACCACATAAGCAAAAAGAAAAAAGCCGGAAGTAGCGCTGTGGCTCAAGTGGTAGAGTGCTAGCCTTGAGCTGAAGAGCTGGGGGACAGCACCCAGGCCCAGAGTTCAGGCCCCACGACCGTACCCCCCCCCAAAAAAAGAGTTTTATATGACATAATACAAGAAGAGAAACAGAAAAACCTCATGGGAATGAGGTCCAGGAACAGCTAAAGGTCTCCTAGCCAGAAATGTCAGCGTTACTCTGTCCCAGGAAGCTGGTTCTTGTCTCTTTCTGTTTGTCTCCTTCAGTGTCTTCCTGCTGCTTTCTGCTACCTTAACCTTCAATTGTTCATAACTTGCTTCATCAAACACAGAGTTGGTTGTTATCCAAACTTCACACTGGTTCTATAGGTGTCTTTAATTATCATGGGAAGTCATTTGCATCTTTCCTCATTCCCAGGAGAAGAAACCTAGTAGCAATCCTCCCACAAGGCCTCCATCCCCGATCCGATCACCTAGTTCAATCACATGCCAAATCAAGCTGCCAGCCAGGACTATGATCATTCCAGTTCTACTCACACTAACCTGTCTCTCAGGCCAGAGTTTCCACAAACTGCCATGGCCCATCATGTCCCTTCCTATGTCTGCCCTTTTTTTTTCTGGATTGAAATTACCTGAATAACTCTACCAGAGAAAGACTTGGCTCATATCAAATTGGGAAACTGAGCTTAGCTGTCTTCTGCTTCCTGAACCCATGGGCAAATGTATTATGCCTGTCCTGAGTCTTGAACTCAGAACCTGAGCTTTATTGTTCAAGGCTAGACTCTACAAATTGAGCCACAGCTCCATTTCCGGATTTCGTTTGTGGGGTGGGGGTGGGGTTAGTTAATTGAAGACATTGATCACACGGACTTTCTTCCCTAAGCTGACTTTGAACCATGATCCTTAAATCTCAGCCTCCTGAGTAACTAGGATTACAGGCATGAGCCACTGGGGCCTATCAATGGCACAAACTTATGAGGCTGATTTCAAAGACAATCCCAATCCCAAGAATGGTTATAGATGAAGAGAGGGTGGCTACAGAATTCTCGGTATAATCTTGGGTTATTCTGGCCCAAAATTTCATTTCCATATAGGAGATTCTAAGTAATCATGCCTGTGGCAGTAGCATCAAGAGGAAATCAAAACTCCATTCTAGACATGAATAAGAAGGCTTGGCAAAGATCCAGTCTAGTGTTTCATCACCAACAAGGCTGATCTCTCTTACCCTGCCTGTTTCTCTTATGACTGCTTCTCTGTTTTACTCCTAGCTGGCTTCCCCCCCCCCCAAGGCTGATTAGGAGAGGAGGAGCAAAATACAGGCTTTAGGGAAAGATTAAAGGAAGTAGTGAGTGAAAGAATGAAGGCAAATCTAGGGCCAGTGTAAAACTAGACGCCTTCAGGGAGGTTGCAGTAGTTGCTATGTTTACAACAGATGAGTTCTATCCTCTTCTCAAAACCCAAGAAGTTGATGTCTTCACAGTTGGTCATGCAAGACAGTTTTGAATAATGATACATACTTCGCCCTGAGGAGAGGAAAAAAGAAAGAATACAATTGGAATGCTTCCATTTTCTACTGTTGTATTCCTAGAATGACCTATCTGCAGACCCTCACTTACGTTTCTCTCATCCCCAAATAGCTACAAAGCTGAGTTGACCAATTACAGACCCAGAGGATAGATGTGACAGATGTGAGCTTTGCCTCCGATCAATGTTGTCCTGAGGAAAAGCCAATGCAGGCCATCCTTCTAGTAAAACTCTCACGTTCACCCACTCAAGAGAGTGTCACAGCCTCCCACTTGAAGTAAGCAGTCTTTCCCCATGATGCTGTACACCATCGTCTCTTACCTTTATGTGTGAGGATGTAAAAGTTCTCAGTAGCACAGGACTGTTTATGTTGTAGCTTGCAGGAACTCATGAAATCATAGCACCACCCAAGATGATACCTCTTACATCTGAAGCACATGACTGAAGTTTCTGCCAGATACAGAAAGAGATGCTTAGAGGAGATCTTCTGGAAGGTTCTCTGGACTTAGAGGCTTGTCTGCAGGAGTTTAGTCTGGCCTAGTGGTTCTTAATCTTCTTAGATTAGGATTATAATTAGAATGTTGTGAGAGGTCACCCGTATGAACAGAAATCAAATGTTATATAACATTTTCAAGAGCTCAAGGTTCCTGGAGAATTTATCTGTGGAATTCAAACAATAAATCCCTTTTCTAGGCTGATGATTTTGTCCAGGCATGGGCAAAAAAGAAGGAAACAATGTTTTGTTTTTTAACCTCCTAGTTTCAAGAACTAGACTAAAGGTGTCAGGACAAAGATAATCCCTAGGGATTCTCTAGCAAGAATGGATTATAACCCTCTCTTACAAATTAAGTTTATGTCTAGAAACAGGATGTTACCACTGACAGTAGGCTTATCTGCTCCCCAAAGTCTTGAAACCAACTACGGCCATACCTTTGTGAGCGTTGTGGGGCTCACCTGTGAAGAGAAGAGAAAAATCTGTGGTGTTATCCTCTCACAGACACCTGCTACAGCCCCAAGATCCAATTTGGGGGATCTCTCTTTCCCCAGCATCTGTGTGTCCATAACCAACCCTCAGACCCCCTCGTTGCTTCTAAGACTTACCCTCATCTGAGCAGAGCAGGAAGACTGTGCCCAGCAGAAACAGAAAACGCATTCTGGGACTTCTGACATGTGCAGCCTCCTTCAGAAGGTACTGGTTGTTTTCCTCCTGTGATCTATCCTTGGGCTATTCATCTGAATCATAATCATAAGCTTCTGAGGACAGACAGTACCTCCACGATCCCAGAACCAGACTATCATGTCTGATTCTCTCACAGCAATCCAAAGAGTATGCTCACTTTGATTTTGCCCAGGTCCTCAAAGGAAGGAAGGTAACATTATGACTTTCCTGCTCCTTCTCCTACATCCCAGTCTCAGGTCCTAAATATATATATATATATATATATATATATATTAGTATAAGACCTTTTGCCTCATCCAACAGGAAATTTTTACTTATTCTAACAACTAACTTCACACCTGGGTCCATTTTTCTCTATCTCTACGGCCACTACCATAATCAAATCTATCACCAGCACTTGTCTAGACAAAACAACAGCTTTATTTACTGGTTTTTTTTTTTGCCTCCTTCTTTTCACTCTGTTCCTTTATAATGATTTCTCCATGAAGCTGTTAAAGAGCACTTTATAAGTCACGTGACTACACCCCTGCTTATAACCTACCAGTGACTCCACATCACACGTAGAAGAAAAGCCCAAGCTCTCAGAGTCTACAAGGCCTTCCCACATCTGGACAATGGCCACATCTCCAAGACACATTCTCTGTGCTTGCTACCCTCTAGGACAGAACAGCACTTCCTCATTGGGCTCTAGAAAAATGTCAGCCTTTGGCTTCCATCCTTCCTCTTATTTTATCATTTTATTTTATTGCTCATATTGGGGCTTGAACTCAGTGGGCACTGTCCCTTAGCTTTTCTCACTCAAGACTTGATCTACCACTTGAATTATACGTCTACTTCTGGCTTTTTGTTGACTAACTGGAGTCTCATAGACTTTCCTTCCCAGGCTACTTCAAACTGTGATCCTTAGCCTCCTGGATAGCTATGATTACAGGTGTGAGTCACCAGTACCTGGCTTTGTTTTATATTTCTGTAACAATCTCATTACCTGCGCTCACTTCCTTGCACCTCCAATAAAACAAAGCAGAGGTTTTGTTTATTTTTTTAATTTAAATTTTATTGTAAAAGTGGCATACAGAGGGGTTACAGTTATGTAAGTAAGGTAGTAAGTACATTTCTTTTTTATTTACTTTTATTTTAGTACATTTCTTTTTGAACACCCCTCGCGCATTTTCTCCCATTTTCTGAGGTTTTGTTTTATTTACCACAGCATTCTCTGCAGCTGGAAACTTTGAACATAGAAAAATACCAATACCATTTGTTGGATAAATTAATGACATCCCATTTTGAATGGCCCCAGTCCATTCTCCTAGATTGATTAGAAAAATATATAATAAAGATGTGGAAATGAGATTCTTCATTTGCTAGGATCCTAAAACAATAAGAAACAAGTGTTTTTACATTTTAAAATGAAATGTGGGGCTGGGAATGTGGCTTAGTGGTAGAGTGCTTACAGAGCATGCACGAAATCTTTAGTTTGATTCTTCAATACCACATACACAGAAAATGCCAGAAGTGGCACTGAGCAAAAGAAGCTCAGGGACAGTGCCTAGGCCCTGAGTTCAAGCCCCAGGATGGGTAAAAAGAAAAAAGAAAAGCACAATGGGGTGGCAATGGGAGGGAAAAGCTGAGAGAGAGCAAGGGAAGGAGTATTGTCTAAAAAGAAATGTACTCGTTACCTGACTATGTAACTGTAACCATCTGTACGTCATCTTTTTTTTTTTTTTTTTTGGGTCCGGTCGTGGGGCCTGAACTCTGGGCCTGGGCGCTGTTCCTCAGCTCTTCAGCTCAAGGCTAGCACTCTACCACTTGAGCCACAGCACCACTTCTGGCTTTTTTTTTTTCTTTTGCTTATGTGGTGTTGAGGAATCAAATCCAGGGCCTCAGGCATGCAAGGTAAGCGCTCTACCACTGAGCCACCTTCCCAGCCCCTGTATGTCATCTTTATAATATCAATAAAAAATAAAAAATTTAAAAAATGGAATGTGCTCTTTAGGCAGATCGACAAAGAAATGAGATGAAAGCCGTATCTCAGGCCCTTGTACCACCTAGATAATACAGCCAGACAGTGAAGTGACACGATCATTTTAAGTGGTCATGATGTCACTTAATGGTCAAGACAGTGGAAGAAGAGGTTGGTAAGGGGAAGGGGGAGGTAGAGAACAAGAGACAGAAGAGGTGAAATGGCATTTTTGATAATGTTAATACAAATAAGTGATTTTCTCTGTGCTGGCACTGGGACTTGAATTCAGACTGGGAGCTTTCCTTTAGCATTTTGCTCAAGGCTGATGGTCTATTGACAAGAAAAAGTAAAAATAAAAAAGTATATGGAAGGATGTGCATATATACTTATGAAAATGCTACATGTTTCATATGGTAAGAATCTGTGTTTTGGTATCTTTGGAAACTCGTGGAGCCAATCACATGGATATTCAGGGACAACTGTAATTACTAAGATAAAGATAATAAGCAAGGTTCTGGTGGCTCACATCTGCAATCCTAACTACGCAGGAAGCTGAAATCTGATGCTCAAATTTTGAAGCCAGCCTGGGCAGGAAAGTCCATGAGACTCCAATTAACTGCATATACCCGTGTGTGTGTACACACACACAAGCCAGAAGTGGAGTTGTGCCTCAAGTGATAGAATGTTAGCCTTGAGCACAAAAGCTCAGGGACCAGGCCCAGGCTCTGCATTCAAGCCCCAGAGCCAAGACCAAAATATAAAAAATAAAAAAGGTAGTACTAAATACCGACGTTAGCTCAATGAAAATTCCAGCATTTATTAATTATGTATTAATTGTTACCTGTTGTGGGGAGGATAACCAATGAACCTGAGCTCCAAGAAGAAAACCTTGTATGACTAGAAACTCCATACTATCCCTGAGGCATGAATAATCAATCACTCTCTTATGGTGAAGGGGAAAACTTCCTCCCAAAGCCTAAAGATCTGTGCTTGCTGTCCCTGGTTTCTTTTCTTCTGCACAAGAGTCTGCTGGGCCAGGATGAACAAACCCTTCCTGTTGCTCTTTTCCCTCTCCTGCCTCATTGTGGGTAAGTCAAGGCCTGAGGAGTGAGCTTCAGTGGCAGGGGGTCGAGAGCCCACAGCACAGCCAGAGCCATTCAGAGTAGGCCTTGATCACCCTGGGCTAGCAGGAAGGAGAGCCTGAACTGAGGATGTCCCTTCTGTCTTCTTGGTCAACTTTCCTGTGTTTTTTCACCTTTCCCCATATTCCCAAGCAAGTGTGCAAGCTTCTACATCACTTCCCCTGTATCCTGCTTCTCTCCTTGATTCCTACCATTCTCACAATCCAAAACATGAGTGAAATTTCTCTTAGGTCATCTTTTCTGCTCATCAATCTACATTCTTTCTGTGGATATATTTATACCCACTTGCTGAGTGAATTAGCCACTCTAGAATGGATAATTCTGTGGTTGGTTTAGTCTTGGACATTTGTTCTGATACTCATTCAGGGATCTTGTATTACAATTATATTTTTGGAAAGAGAATTCTGAATACCCTCTAATCAGATTTCATAAAATATGGCTCAGTCACTCTTTAATTCTGTACTGGGTTTTTTTGGTTTATTTTTTAATTGGTATTTCTTATTACCTATAAGTAGTTATACAGAGGGGTTCCAATTCAACATGTCAGTGTATGAGTACAATGCCGCTTGAGCAGTGTTACTCTTTCTGTTGTTCTCTTCTATTGCTTGTTAATTAGAAAATGATTTTATAGAGGTTAAATCAGATACAGTTTGACAGAACATGGATCAAATAAGATGTTCAGTAAAATACTCTTTTTCTTTCTTACTTTAGTGGGGGGAGGAGGGAATTTTTCTTTAATTGAATGTGTACTTCAATGATTTTCCTCAGACCTTCATGAAGGGTATCACAAGCGGTGCTCTAACTCATAAGAACTTTTTTTAAAAATCCATTTGAAGCTCAAAATACATCCACTAACAATATCCAAGCAGCCATATTCAACAAAAAGCATCATAATGTCACTAGCTTAGGAGACAGGTTTCAAAGTTCAAGCCAGGTGCTGGTGGCTCTTAGCTATTCAAGAGGCTAAGATCTGAGGATTGTGCTTTGAAGGCTGCGCAGGAAAGAAAATCTGTGAGACTTACTTTAAAAAAAATTAAACCCAAACCCTCACAGTCCAACAAAATGAATACCAGGCAGGCACATGAAAGATGTGGAAGAGGTCAAGGGGAGAAAAGAAGAGGAATAAAAAGAGGAACCAAACCAGCTACAACTATGTTCATTGCAGCATTATTTACCATATCTTAGATGCCCCTCAGTAGATGAGTAGATCAAGAAAATGTGGTGTATACACAATTGAGTTCTATGCTTCCATTGGAAAGAATGACATTGACCCACTCATGAGGAATTGTAAAGGCTTGTGGGGTGGGGAGGGGAATCATACTAAGTGAAGTAAGCCAGACCCAAAGAAACATAGGCTCCATGGTTTCCCTCATTTGTATTAATAAGTATAAGCCTAAGAGAGTTCCAGCAGAGTATCACAACAGCTCAACAGCTATGTACATATGACCATATAAAATGATGGTAATTGAAATGAACTCCTCGATATGGAAACAAGAGGGTTTTTTGTTTTGTGTTTGTTTTTGTATTTGTTTTTAATGTACTCTACGAAGTTACTTCTTTTTTCTTTTGTTTTTCCCCTTTTGGTTTATCCCCTGTTGTCACTGTCTTTGATTTGTGTACCCCATGTCTTGTATATATGTTTATCTGATTTGGGAAAGGGAAGGGGAATAACAAAATGGTGAGGTAAAGGACAAAGAGTGAACCAATGCAACAGTGATACTCACAAGACACTATGCTGGCAACAAACTTGACCATTGGGGGAGGGGGAGAAGGGGTGAGAAAATATGGGAGAAAAAAGAGGGAGAAGGTAACAATATTCAACAAGAAATGTACTCATTACCTTACTTATGTAACTGCAACCCCTCTGACATCACTACTACAACAAACTAAAGTTAAATTTAAAAAATAGAAAGAGGAAGAGAGAATGCAGTTACGATATTCAATGAATATCCTATGAAAGAAAGAAGATTGAGGGGCAAGGCTGGGTTGAGAGAGATGGGGGAGGAGGATGGAAGGGGTAACGGGTCAAAATGCATTGTTCTTATAAATTAACTTGTTGAATGGCAATTCCTTTGAACAATGACTTAAAGATAATAAAAATATAGTTAAATAAAATCCAAAAGTAAAGTTGTGTCGTAAGTGGTAGAATGCCAGCCTTAAGCAAAAACAACAAAAACAAAAACAAAACAAAACTGAGGGACAGTGCCCAGGCCTTGAATTCAAGTCCTAGGACACGCTTGTGAGTGCATGTGTATACACGCATGTGGGCGCACACACACATACATGCACACACCAAAGCACTTAAACACACACACACACACACACACACACACACACACACACACACACACACAAAAGTACTTGCTCACATGATCATACTAATGCTTTTTTTTTTTTTTTGGTCAGTCGTGGGGCCTTAACTCTTGGCCTGGGTGCTGTCCCTCAGCTCTTCAGCTCAAGGCGAGCACTCTACCACTTGAGCCACAGCGCCACTTCTGGTTTTCTGGTTGTTAATTGGAGATAAGAGTCTCCCAGACTTTTCTGCCCGGGCTGGCTTTGAACCTTAATCCTCAGATCTCAGCCTCTTGAATAGCTAGGATTATACCAGTGCTCAACTAATATATACTTTTTAAAAAAAATTTTGCCAGTCCTGGGGCTTGAACTCAGGGCCTGTGCACTCTACCAGTTGAGCCTCAGTACCACATCCAGCTTTTTCTGTTTATGTGGTGCTGAGGAATCAAACCCAGGGCCTCATGCATGCAAGGCCAGGACTCTACCACTGAGCCACCTTCCCAGCCTATACTAATGCCTGTTTACATCCCTGTTAAATAAGCCAGGTCAATATTAATAGCATTGTGTGTGTGTATGTGTGTGTGTGTGTGTGTGTGTGTGTGTGTGTGTGTGTCTATTTTTGTGTCTGTATTGGTGTCTGTGTCTGTGTGATGGTTCTGTGGCTTGAACTCAGAGCCTGGACTGCCATCCCTGAGCTTTCTAGCTCCAGACTAATATTCCATCACTTGAGCCACATTTCCACTTTTTGTTTTGGTGGTTAGTTGGAGCTAAGAATCTAGCTGGCTTTGAACTGTGATCCTCAGATCTCAGCCTCTTCAGTAGCTATGATTACAGCCATGAGCCACTGATACCCAGCTAATAGCACCATTTTTAAGCAGGAGAAACCAACTACAGGGAGGTTGTTGCTCAGTTATGTCCATTGAAAAGGCTAAAGTTAGAACTGGAATCTTTTTTATGGCACTTTCTGGCCATCACTGTAAGATGTATCTAGAGTATCTAGATACTCTGCCACCAGCTCTTCATCTACTATCCACCTGTTGGTCATTCCACAAACCCCCCTGCTCTGCAAATCTGTTATTTCCAGCTGTATCTCCAATCTCAATTTCCCAGTCTCACATCAAGCTCTGTGGTCTCTCCAGCAGCAACACCACTGATATGTGTAACATGCCACCTTCGCACCCTGACAGACCACTGCAGAAGAGGCTATGGCATCTGCGTTGCTCAGGAGCACGAGACCTGCATGAGCCTAAAGATCTACCAGCGTAAGTCAGAGGGTCAGGGGAGGTGGTGCACAAACCTTAGAATTCTTAGCACAGCACTCCAGCAGTTTTACATCTCAAACTGAGGCCATCTTGGGGGACGAACCAAGATGCAAAAGGCTCTGGGGTGTGGTTGCACACAGACAGAAGAGGATCTGGGAAAATGGGATAGGAGAAAGAGGTGAGGATTTTATATTCCCAGGAAAGATGGTCAAATAGAGATGGCCTTTGAAGACCTCACAGGACTCTTGCTAATCTTCTGGTGAGGAGGGGGGGGGAAGAGATATAAAAGATGCACAGAGTCGTATGGTTAATATATATGTATGGAAATACCACACAATTTTCTGTACAACTAATATATGACAAAGCACAAAAGATTAAGGAGTTATCATACAAATAAGTCAATCCTGCACCTGGCCAGCGATTTTGGCACTGGACCTCTTGGAATATAGATATTTACCCTCTTGGATATATGCTAGGAAGCTTCCCCTATGCTTACCTGTTTGGTGCCAGATCTTGTCTGCCTTGGAGAACTAGATCACTGGTTTTTTTCCCCCCCTCTGTTTTTTTCCCCCTATTTCAGATGATGTTCTCCAAGTATCATATATGGTGTGTCAGAAGTTCTGCAATAACTTGAAATACGACCTCAACAATCGGACTTATGTGCATCGATGCTGCCAGAGCAACTATTGTAACTTTAGAACGTAGGGTATTCATTCTGGGCCAGGTGTGATGGTACACCCTTGTCAATCCAATTTCCCAGGAGGTTGGAAGGGGAGAGTCATCATTTGAGGCCAGCCCATCAAAATTGCACATTCTTGTCAACAAGCATCATGGTTGACATCAGGTGTGGGTTGTGATTTGTGTGTGTGTGTGTCTGTGTGTGTGTTAATGTCATGTATATGTGACAATATATATAGAAGGTGAGGACTAGAACTGGGAAGAAAATACAGAAGTCAGTCACTGGAGAAATCGAAGGAAAGCTGTATGTCTACCTCTCAGTATCAGCCACCATGTCAGCCAGCCTTTCAACACTTGTCAACTCTAGCAACTTCTTGGAACTACAGATAAGCCAGACATATGCTGGGTTCCCTCTGCCCATCAGGAAGATGAGGACATAGTATCCAACCTGCACTCTGTTCCCGACTTCTGGCATCTGAACCTCTAGAACTTCCCTGAGTCTTTTCCTGAGGCTAGCGCTGTAGCCCTCTCCCCTCTTACCCTGGCTCCTATCCAAAACCATATCGTTCTTTACTGCTTTTTCTTACTCCAAGGGCTAAAGGACACACTGTCCTGTCATGTCTTGTTCCTGTCCTGCCCAGAGGCACCAACCTGAGCCTCTCCCTGACCCCTACAAAGGGAAGGGAAGGCGGTGGTTTGATGTCGGGTTAGGCTTCTTTGTAGTCAGCCCAGAATTATGTTTATTTTCCCTCTCTAGGAGAGCAGGGGGAAAATAAGATAAAAACAAAGTCCTTAAAAAGAAATGTCCTGTAGTCTTGGTGACGAGGCAGGAGCTATTCCAGTGTGTCATGAGGCCGGACTGTGAGGCTGAGGGGCTAGACTCCCTTAAAGTCTCCACACAGGAAGAGAGAAAGGAAGCATGTGATTGGCTGACCCCAGTGCTTCTCCGTGAGGTCTCCCCTGTCCCTCTCCTAGGCCAAGGGAAATGGAGCCTAGACAACCAGATTCCCTGACACCTAGACCTCCTCAGACAGCAGCTGCCTGGAGCCATTGCAGGACATTGCCCTGCTTTCCTGGTTCCTACTGGGAAACCATTAACTCTCCATCTCCTTCTGTATGGCCAACCCAAGGTAGCCTCCTGCCTGAGACCCATTGATCCCCTCCCTAATTGCACTGCACACTAACCTGGCACAGTCTTGATATGGAAGGTCCTAGTTTACCACATGTACAAAATAAAGGAATTGATCCTAAGAGCCATACAGTTCAGCACCTGTTCCTACACAAGAAACAGGAGTTGGTTAGAATGACATCGCAATTAAAGTTAGAGGGAGATACTGATCCATCTTGCTCTTGGTGATCAAGCCACAGACACGAACATCCAGGTGAGAGATGTATAGAACAGAACTTTGTGTCTTCTCACAGATCATCTCTTGTCATGTGCCTGGCATAGTAAGTAGCTTCACTGATCAAACTTGGAGAAGACAGAATTGTAGGAAGGCCTTAAAACCACAATGGCAAACTGCTTCAGATGGACTCTGAAGCGTTTCTCGGCAGCCCCCTCCTGAAACATTGTCCCAACTAGGTTACAGGGATCTCAAGGATGTGAGAGGTTTTAGTGTGAGTCTCAAACCATGCCAACACCCCCAGACTCCGGCCTCATCCTACAGGCTGAGCTCATAGCACAGTAAATGCTCCTCACGTGCCTTCCCATGGCAGGAGTGAGAAATCAGGCTGGCAAAGAGGGAATGGCTGTTATTTCTCTCCAGTGCAACTTCTGCCTGCCTCTCCTGCAAAGAAACCTATACAGAATGAACCACCAGGAGAACCACCGTGTGTAGAGGTCTTATGTTTACAGAGCATTTGTTAATGGCATTTCTTATCGGATTACCTGGGTAAAGAAAGATCTACTGCCACACAGCACAACTGTATAGGATTCATTACATTGCCCCAAGGTCAAGTGCTGTGCTGTCTGTGTTCCCCAATATGGAGGAAATGATAAGAGGTGTGAAGTCTGGGATTCTCAGAAGCCACCTGGAGCCCTCAGCAGAGTAGATTACAGATGCTTCCGTCAAGCAGTGGCCGCTCACCTTCTAGGCAAGGCAACAAGACAGAGCCTGCAGGGGCTGCCCTGGAAGTGGCCACTTCCCTACAGCTTAGATTTGGCTTGCATGTTGGATGGGCAGGAGGCAGAGAACAGTGTCTCCTAGATGGCCTTTGAAGTGAAGGCCTAAGGTTCAGAACAGACTGATTTTTCTCACATGGGTGGCTAGCCATGAGATTAGATGAGATGGGGGTCCCAGACCCAGGGGTTAGAGCTGGGCTGTTCTAACCAGAGGAATGAACTGCTAAAGACTCACTCAGATGGCTTGGTAGCTGCCAAGAAATAACCATAATTGTGTCATGGATGCTCCCCTTTGTTTTTTTTTTTTCTTCTGGGAGTCTCCAAGTGCTTTTTTTTAAAAATAATATTTTGACTCGATCAAATTTCCAGTCCTGTAAGAACTTTTTTTTTCTAGATGCAAATTCTTCAGACAAGTAGTTTTCTTTTAGAAGGCCTATAGGTTCTGATCTAGAACCTTTAGAAGAGATTCCCAAACCAAACCCAGAGTCAGGAACAACTTCCAAGATTATAATGCTAAGTTAAGTCATGTCTGTGAATTCCCTCCCCCCACCCCGCCAGCGACTCCTCCACCTCCCCCATGTATTCCCAGAGGCCTCATCCTGGGTGCTCCCATTTGGGAAAGCCAGAAACTCAACTCTAACTCTTCCCATAGCAAGGGCCTGGAAGAGGGTACGAGAGTCAGGGACTAGCCCTGATCATTTTGCAATCATGTCTGTGATTCAGTTATCTGCAACAGGACTCCATGTTAGTTTGCTAGGCTGGCATAACACAATACCATTTACTCGACAGAAATTTATCTTCTCATTGTTTGCTAGAAATATAAGATCAAGAAACTGGCATTAGAGGGCTTTGTGAAGCCTTTCTCTTTGGAGAGAAAAGGAGCTATCCATATCACAAGTACCCATGATCTCTAGGTGACTGAATCAAATGTAGATAAACCCAAAAACTATGGATTTATGAATCTAGGAGGAAATGGTAAGCTGGGCTTTGCTATAGTGAGAGTTTAGAATTGGGAAGATTAAGTCAGATCTAAGTAAAGATAAATGTCCCACGAGAGCAAACAGCAGACGCAAATGAAAATATGAAGAGATGGACAATTCATAGGACGGAATATTAGGAAGAAAGATAAGAATAGAATAGAACAATCTGAATCTCCTCAAAGAAGTTATGTATGCTTGGGACCGTATTTAAAAAGGTATCCCAACCAAATTATATTTCTTATTTTGAAATGTATTGAGATTTCTATTTAATTTTGTGTAAGTATGCTAGTCCTGGTGCTCAGGTTACTAGTGCTCTATCATTTGAGCCACAGTTCCAATTTTTGGTGGTTAATTAGAGATAAGAGTCTCCTGACTTCCTGCCTGGGCTGGCTGGGAACCGTGAGCCTCAGCTCTCAGCTTCCTGAGGAGCTGGGATTATAGATGTGAGCCACCAGTGCCCTGCTTCTATTTAATTTTTTTCCATTGGGAAATAATACAGGAACAAAATAAGAAGTTGATGTTTTTGCCCGCCTACCCTCAAACACACACTCTCAAGATAGTCAGCTCATAATGTGACCATACATTACAATGGCTAGGGTTAAGGTCTTAAGCAGACTTTAACTGTCGTGAGAGTCCTTGTGCAGTGAAGGAATGAAGATTCCAGCAAGCTGGTCTTTGAAACACTTTCTCTTTTGCTCCCTGCTGGATTGTGCTAATTGCCACAGGGTATGACGGCCATCCTTCCATTTGTTGTTTGTTTATGCTGATCAATTGGTTGCATTCACATATGGATTTTAATAATCATTCTCTTGTGATGGCGGTCTTATGAAAACTTCAACAAAACTACTTCTATGAAAAATGTGCTCAATCCTCAAGGTGATTGTAAGATAGATCAGCAAAATGGGTACCAATGAGTTAGATTTTAAAAAATCATTCTAGGGGAGGGGAGATGTTCACAAGTGTCTTATTTTAGGAAATAGAGATCTGTGGTCCACAAAACAATGGGTTCTGGAAATGTCTATATGCCAATGCATAAAAGGCATTCTCCACATGTCCTTAAGGCTCCTTGAGTAAAGGTTATAACTAAAAGTGTAGTAAAAGAGTTGAGTAAAAGTGACCAAATATACAATAGTTAAGCCTTGGGGATGAAATTGGACTAGGAAATAGAAACAGGAGGGTGGATTATCAACATATAGCTGATATAGAGTGGTATAGCCATGGAGATGCAAAAGTTCTTTTTTACCTTTTATATATTTATTTATTTTTATTAGTGTGTATTACCTGTATAAAATAATGGTTTTATAGTGACATTTTCATTCATGTATACAATGCCTTTTGCTCATATTCATCCCATTTTTCTTTTGTCCCTTCCCCTCATTATCCCTTTTCCTTTCCCTGATAATACTCTACTTTCATATCTAGATTTTTGTACGTGAGGAAAAACACACAGAATGAAAAGGTTCTTTAAAGGAAGAATTTAGAAATAAAAAGGAACTATAGCCAGGTGTTCATGACTCATGCCTGTAATCTTAGCTACTTAGGACACTGAGATCTGAAGATCATGGCTAGACGCCAGCTCAGGCAGAAAAGTCCATGAGACTCTTCTCTTCAAGGCCATGTCCAAGTTAAGTTACCCAGCAAGCCCTGCAATGGAGGAGAAAGAAATGAAAGAAGATGAGATTCGGCAGCCTTGAAGATCAAATAGGAAAGAGAATGAAGAGAACCCAGGTATTTGTAGTGAAGTTGCAAAACATAGTTCCCTTCAAAGGTAGGCAAAATCACCTTATAGATCATTCCTCTTTACTCTCAAACATTTCATAACAGAACCAATTTATGCAAGTATTATTCTTGATTTTGTTTTGTTTTGTTTTTTGGACAGTCATGGGGCCTGAACTCTGGGCCTGGGCACTGTCCCTCAGCTCTTCAGCTCAAGCTAGCACTTTACCACTTGAGCCACAACGCCACATCTGGCTTTTTCTGGTGCCAAGGAATTGAACCCAGGGCCTCATGCATGCAAGGCAAGCACTCTACCACCGAGCCAACTTCCCAGCCCCTATGCAAGTACTATTCTTATTTGCATTCAGTAGGCCTCCCTGGAAGAAAAGAAAA